TTGCAGGGAGCTCCGTGAATCTTCTTTCCCATACTCCCTGTCCACCACTCTGACAGGAGTCCAAGATAGTAGATCCATGCTGTGTTAGCTGATAGGGAGACCTCTGCTCATAACTCTCCTTGCGCTTTGTTCTCTATCAGTTTCTTATGCCATTTGGTCTTGGCTGAGTTCTTTATCTCTTCAGTTGACACTTAGGGTTCCAGGATTGACGTTTCTCTCTGTTTTATACTTAGTTTTTTGGGTCTTTGCTGTGGAGGGACAGCATGGTGCTTCTGTCTGTAGCGCCATATTGGCTCTGCCTTTGAGATGTATTCTTTTAGATGACGGTGTTGGTGTAAGGAAGAAAAAAGAGCAATTAGACTTGGAAAAGAGAGAAGTTAAAAAATATTGTAAAATTATTGCTGCCAGGGATAGAAAATGGTACCATGTTGGAAATGTTTGTCAGTTTCTTAAAAAGTTGAACTTACCATACAGCCCAGCAGTTCCATGCCTAATAATCTACCCAAGAAGAAAGTATATGTTCACTCAAAGACTTGTATGTGAATATTTATAGCAGTATTGATCATAATAGTCAAAAACTGGAGATAATCAGATGTCTGTCAACTGGCAAATGGATACACATATGTGGTATATCCATCGTATGGATATACCACAAAGGGACCCAACTACTGATATATGGTACACCCCATTGCCATTGAGTTGATTCCAACTCATAGTGACTATAGGACAGAGTAGAACTGCCCCATAGCGTTTCCAAGGCTGAAATCTTTATAAAACAGACTGCCACATCTTTCTTCCATGGAGCAGCCAGTGGGTTCGAACTACTAACCTTTTGGTTAGCAGCAGAGTGCTTAACCAGTGCACACCTGTGCCACCAGGGCTCCTTGATATATGGTACAGTATGGATGAAAGTTGTGTTTCATGAAAGAAGTTCCATTTATGTAAAATGCCCAAAAAAGACAGATTTATGGAGACAGAAAACAGTAAGTGGTTACTTGGCAGAGCTGGAGGTGTAAAGGAGGATTGACTGCAGACAAGCTCAGGCGAATTTTCTGGGGTAATGGAAATGTTCAAGAGCTGGATAGTGTGATGGTCACAGAGCTTTCATAAATTTACTAAAAATTGAATTGTATACTGAAAGTGAGTAGATTTTATGGTATGTAATTTATGCTTTAATAAAGCTTTTGAAAGTGCCAAAAAGTTTCGAGGAATATGAGTGGCAAAGTTAAGTGGGTAATTGTAAAAGAAGTTACTTCAGTATTCACTGAGGATTAAAGAGATTTAATTTTTTTTATTTGATGTGCAAGATGAGTCTATTTATATGTTCATAACTTAGTCACTTATAATTCTTGAACCTTTCCTTTGGAAACAGTATACACCTGAAGAGCGTGATCCTGTACCGCTGAGCATCCACCACATGCCCATTTGTGTCAGTTTTGCCTTCTTCCAGCAAGGGTGAGTCTGCCTTGTTGTGGGTTGCTAGAGCTTTTTTGTTGTATTCAAATGTTCCACGGACAAATGAACACCCTCCCCCTTTAACGTTAAAGAACCTTATTATTCCTTTTGTTAGTAAGGGCATTAGTTGGCAAATAGCTTTCGCAATAAAAGTGACAAACTCATCTACAACAAAGACACTTGC